TGATTATAAATGCCAAACCGAGGGTTCATTAGTGCCATCACTTCGTCGCCCATTTCCAGATGGTCTGAATCGGCCAACTCTACCGTTGGATAACCCGTTGTCCTCTTTTGCAACTCTATAATCGCTATTATATTGTCTTTCATAATAACTCTTCCCTTCACTTCTTGTCCGTCACCCAAACGGACCAATACTTGAGCGTAAAAACCAATGGTTTCCTTAGAAGTCAACACAACACCCCTTTCGTCGACTATAAACCCGGAGCCCATGACAGACGGCGGGCCCTCGGGGTAACACTTGGGGTCTGACTTCTGGTACAGTTGTCTCAATGACACAAATGGTGTACTCCATGTCTCTGTACTCAACCCTTTTGGTGACAGTAATTCAACTCTTTTTAAATAAAACAAACTATTCTTCAGCTGATTGTCTGTCCGGAAGTGTTGTATTGTTTGTTGACTTGTATTGTAATGCAAACATATGTTTGACGCAATCATTGAAGTCGTTATCACTATTACTCGAGTCCTGTATTTAATTAAATAATTAGAGTTTACATTCAATATCAATGTTTGTGTTATTTTTGCACATAAATACTTTCGATACTTTTGATTGCATTTTGTTAGAAAGGTTTTCATTGAATACATATTAATAGTTCTGTTATTGTTTTAAATATTATAAATTTAAGTTTATTAGTGGAAAATTGATTAAAATTTAATCCATTTTAAATTATATCACGATATTTTTAATAATTAATTGCAAATAATGTATTTGCATTGCATTCACTGCATATTCAGTTAAATATATTTCTAATTGTTGTCAATGTTTATTGTATGAGTCAACTATACTGTAGATTAGACTTCATATAAGCGGACTCTTAACAGATTTGAATCCAATTTTGAGGGTCTCATCACCCGATTTGATCCGTCGGACAGTTATCTCCAAATCACTTTCTTTGCACTCTTTTATACATTGTTTTAATTCATTCACTGATTTAATGGGTCTGTTATTCACTCGCGTTATTATATCATATGCCATAAAACCAGACCTAAATACAGTAAAAATAATACATATTTAAGATCTAAAAATGTATAAAATTATTGTTATATTAATACATACCCTGCCAAAAGTTTGGGTTTCTTTGCCATCGGGGAAGAAATATCTTCCCTGGGTATCAATATTTGAATTTTTAAATAAATGTCAAATAATTGTTTATATGATTCAATACTTACTCATTAGGACTAAACACAACACTAATTACAACGACTCCTTCACCATTAGTTTGGGTCACATTTTGTCCAAATTCAGACATTTGTGGCATTTGTCGCAACAAATATTTGACTCTCACAGTAGTTATCGGAGTAAGCGTTTCGACTGTTATTCCCAAACAATTATTTCTATTCAACGAATATTTCATTTGTTGTGATTCTCTCTCAAACTTCAGTCCTCTCGCAATAAATCCTATCAAAGGAAATAACCATTAAATTGAGTGTAAAAAATAGTATTAAAGTCAAACCCTTGACATTTGTTGAAGAGGTGGCAAAATTGTCTCTAAAATGCTCGATTCCGCCCCAATTGATGCCAACAACGCGTCCGCAGCTGTCGAGTAATGGGCCGCCAGAGAAGCCCGGATATGATGAACACGTATGGGATATGTTCACAACGTTTGGATCCAATAAATTATTCCCCATTTCCCAATTGCCAAGGGATATGGTTTCATGTTTGCGCCCAACACTACCGACCAGACCATCAAATATTGTATTTTGCAGATCCGGATTACCGAATGACACCAACCGTTGACCCATATCTACCGATTCGTTCAACTCTAACCCATTGACGTCCAAATGGCCGCTAATACGGATGAGTGCTAAGTCAATCTGTGGCTCTATGTAGACCACATGACCACGTGGCAAATTTAGCGATAATTTTGCCGCACGTATATCTTCCGCGTTGTCCCGACTGTACGATTGAATATATATTCTGTCCGCCTCTTCGGTGACGTGACTATTGGTTAGTATATAACCCGTCGCCTCTTTGAGGGCAACCCCAGAGCCAAGTGAAGGCATAGATCCGCCTTTTGGGGAATAGGTATAGATAGATACCAATTGCACAATACCTTTCATAACATTATCATTGATTTGATCCAATGTTAGATCTTTGTGTCCATTCATTTGTGCATTTCTTATGATATATTTGTGTCTCATTTTCACAATCGGTTTGTTCTGTCTTTTGAAATACATTTCACGAAAATAATTGCCACTAATTATCGAAACACTTGTAATGAATGTCTTTTTAGCAGAGCATTGATTTATTAATTTATTGAATCTATACATGATTTTGAAAACTTAAGGTTTAATTTTGTTAATGTAATTAACGTATTTTTAAAAATTATATGAAATTTAAATATTTAACAATCAATGATACGTCCATTCATTCAATCAAATAATAACTTTTTATTACAAACACTTTATATAAGAGAACTGTCGACTGCTTTGAAGTCTATTTTTAAAGCCTTATATAATTTGTTCCGTCGGAGGGTTACATCCAAATCGTCTTCTTTGCACTCATTAATGCATTCTTTCAAATCATTCACTGATTTAATGGGTTTGTTATTCACTCGTATTATTATGTCATTTGTCATGAATTCAGCGCTAAATACAGTGAATTAAAAGTAAACACATTTTAAAATCTAGAAATTAACAAAATTATTATAATAATCAATACATACTCTGCTGAGAGTTTAGGTTTCTTTGCCATCGGAGGAGAACTGTGTTCGCTGTGTATTAATGTATGAATTTTAAATAAATGTCAAGTAATTGTTCATATTATTCAATACTCACTCATTAGGACTAAACACAACACTCATCACAACTACTCCTTCGGTAACATTGAGCGCAAAATCAGACATTTGTGGCATTTTCTGCAACAAATTCCTGATTCTTGGGCTCAGGGTTTGGACTGTTATTCCCAAACATTTGTTTCTATTCATTGAATATTTCATTTGTTGTGATTCTCTCTCAAACTTCAATCCTCTGGCAATAAATCCTATCAAAGGAAACAACCATTAAATTAAATGCGAAAATTATAATTAAAGTCAAACCCTTGACATCTGTTGAAGTGATGGCAAAAGTTTCGTGATAATCTATAATTCCGCCCCAATTGATGCCAACAACCCTTCCGGACATGTCGAGCACCGGTCCACCAGAAAATCCAGCATATATGGCACAGGTGTGGGTGATATTAGTAGTGTTTGGGTCCATAAAATGAGTAAAAGACTCCCAATTACCACGAGAGATGGTTTTGTATTTGCGATCGACACTAAAGACCACGCCATCAAATATAGTGTTATGCAGATAATCAGGACTACCAAAAGCCACCACACGTTGACCCATATCTGCCGATGCGCTCAACTCTAAGCCATTGGTGTCCAACTGTCCGCTAACGGCTACGAGTGCTAAATCCAGTTCTGGCTCCACATAAACCACGTTTCCCTTTGGTGTTTGTGAGAACGGCTTCTCACGTATATCTCCCGCGTTGTCCCGACTGTACGGATGAATATATATTGTGGTCTTCTCTTCGGTGACGTGACAATTGGTCACTACATAACCCGTCGCCTCTTTGAGGGCAACCCCAGAGCCAATTGAAGTCAGAGTTTTTCCGGTTGTGGAAACGGTGAGGTTGTGGACGACTACTACGCGTACAAAACTTTGCATAACATTGTCATTCAATTGATCCAATGCTAGATCTTTGCGTCCATTCATTTGTGCGTTTCTTATAATATATTTGAGTTCATTAGTTGTGACAATCGGTTTGTTCTGTCTTTTGAAATACATTTTACGCAAATAATTGCTACTAATTATAGAAACGCTTGGAATGAATGCTTTTTTAGCCGAACATCGATTTATTAATTGATTGAATCTATGCATGATTTTGAAAGATTGAGATTTAATTTGGTTTTAATTAAATGATTTATTTAACGTATTTTTAGAAATTATATGATTTTTAAATATTTAATAATCAATAAAACGCTTAATAAATCAATTTTATTATAATTTTTTATTACAAATACTTTATATAAGAGGATTGTTGATAGCTTTAAATCCAATCTTTAGGGTCTGATCACCCGATTTGATTCGTCGAACAGTTATATTCAAATCACTTTCTTTGCACTCTTTTATACATTGTTTTAATTCATTCACTGAATTAATGGGTCTGTTATTTACTCGAGTTATTATATCATATGCCATAAAACTAGCCCTAAATATAGTAAGAAATAATACATTTTTAAGATTCCAAAAATTAATAAAAATATTACACAGTAGTTATCAATACATACTTTGGTAAAAGTCTAGGTTTCTTTGCCATCGGGGGAGAACTATGTTCGCTGTGAATTGATGTTTGAATTTTTAAGTAAATTTCAAATAATTGTTAATATTATTCAATACTCACTCATTAGGACTAAACAAAACACTCATCACAACCAGTCCTTCGGTATGATTGTGTCCAAATCCAGACATTTGTGGTGTTTTCTGCAACACATTCTTGATTCTTGTGCTCAGCGTTTGGACTATTATTCCCAAACATTTGTTTCTATTAATTGAATATTTCATTTGTTGTGATTCTCTCTCAAACTTCAGTCCTCTCGCAATAAATCCTATCAAAGAAAACAACCATTAAATTGAATGCGAAAATTATAATTAAAGTCAAACCCTTGACATCTGTGGAAGTGGTGGCAAAAGTCTCGTGAAAATCAATAATTCCGCCCCAATTGATGCCAACAACCCTTCCGGACATATCGAGAACGGGTCCGCCAGAGAAACCGGGATATATAGTAGAGCTATGCGTTATATTCGTAGAGTTCGGGTCCAATAAATTCATCCAAAACTCCCAATTATGACGAGAAATGGTTTCGTGTTTGCGATCGACACTACAGACCACGCCATCAAATATGCAGTTATGCAGACAACCGGGACTACCAAAAGTCACCACCTGTTGACCCGTATCTGCCGATGCGCTCAATTCCAAGCCATTGGTGTCCAACTGTCCGATAACAGCTACGAGAGCTAAATCCAACTCTGGTTCCACATAAACGACATGACCACGTGGTAAACGTGGTGATACGTCTACAACACGTATATCTCCCGCGTTGTCCCAAATGTATGACTGAAACCATATTTTGGGCGACGTTTCCGAGACGTGACAATTGGTAAGTATATAACCCGTCGCCTCTTTGAGGGCAATCCCGGCGCCAAATGTTGGCAGAAAGTTGCGATTTGTGGACAAAGTGGTGAATACTATCAATCGTTTCATACTTTGCATAACATTGTTATTGATTTGATCCAATGTTAGATCTTTGCGTCCATTCATTTGTGCATTTCTTATAACATATTTGAGTTGAAAAGTGACAATCAGTTTGTTCTGTCTTTTAAAATACATTTCACGCAAAGAATTGCTACTAATTATCGAAACACTTGTAATGAATGTTATTTTAGTTGAACATTGATTCATTAATTGCTTAATTTTATGCATGATTTTAAAAGTTTACAATTTAATGGATATTTAAATTAGTTAATTGCTATCAATTGAATGAGATTTGATTACATGTATAACTGAATCTATTATTAAAACACGTCATTATCAACAATTGGATTTAACTTGATATAATTTCAACGTATTTATAATGTTACTTGTGTTTTACAACTGGTTTAAAAAATTTATAAAAAAAATGTTTTGTTTGACAAATTTATCCGCAAATTACATAAGGTTTCAAAATAACATTTATTTCCATAAATTTAATAAAAAATTAAAATTTTAAAATAGGATCTCATGTTTGGCAACCATTTCTGTGTTTATGACAACCAATTGGTTTCATCGCAATAGAAATCACGCAAAGATTGTGTCAATAATGCAAACCAAACGACATTTGTCTCTAAGAAGCGCTCATTTGGTTAAAAGCGTTCATCCGATGAAAGAAATATATGACAAATCGTTGCCATCGGTCGTCAAAATCAACGCCCAAAGAGGGACCGGAACCGGATTTATAGTGGATTCCAATGGACTTATCGTAACCAACGCTCATGTGGTCAAAGATCAGACATTTGTTACCATAATATTCTCGCAGTTGTACTCAATGAACAGTTTATTATACAGTAGTAATGATGATCCCAATGAGGATCTTGACAATCAAATGCAGGCACAGGTGGTGTACGTCCAGCCGCACAACGACTTGGCTTTGATCCGTCTGTACGTCAAGAGCGGTGTATTGACCGCATTGTCTCTCTCGCAAAGTACTCATCTAACGGTTGGTGAATCTGTGATGGCAATCGGGAATCCGACTCTTCATTTCAGCCCAACTCACGGAGTGATCACTTGTTTGAGTCGATCGACCGATAGTGCCGTCAGTCTTGGGGTCGATACTTATTTTTTGCCTTTTTCCCGCATTGAGCACAAGTATGTGATACACTCGGCGCCCACCACTTCTGGCTTTTCTGGCGGTCCTGTACTTGACTCCAACGGTGAGGTCGTGGGTGTAGTGATGGCCCACTTGTTTGCTGTCAATGCCTGTATTCCCGCTGACGATATCAGAGGTATGCTATCATTAATACCGTATTTTGAGTTTAAATATAATATTTTTGAATTGCTATTGAATTATATACAGAATTGATTGAAAGAGGGCTTCAATTTGAGAAAAATAGTCGACATATAAACTATTCATTTGATAACAAGAAATCATTGGGAGTTATGGTTAAAAAAATGTTTAATAAAAAACTAAAAGTGATTGGCTTTACGGCTAATAATCCGTTGAATAATAACACAGAGTTTGTTATAAAATGTGTTATTTAATAGAAAATATAAATATTCTGATCTCTATTTATTTTTATTAGAAATGGTTTACAAATAAACGATACTATTATTCAAATTAATGGCGAAATGTGTAGATCTATAGCTCAACTGACTCGAGCTCTGGAGAGTCATACCAATGAAAACATAACCATTTCAATCATAAGAGAGGGCGAAAATATGGATGTATTCATTAAACCCCTGACCACTGATCAACAAAACTACACTTTATTTTAAATCATTTTTAATTCAATGTAAAATATGTTAATTTCTAAGCGATTAAAATATTTAAAAATGTTTTCCATTATTATATTTAATGCTTAACATAATTACTAAACTTATTATAAAGCGGGAGATTATTGTATGGATTATTAAAAATTTAAATTTTAAATATTCTGTTAAACATTTAGATCACCAAAATCTGTAAATATCTGATTGAATTATGCATCTGTTGAGGGATTTGTTTACAAAATACCACAAAAGGTTGTCTTAAATACTATACAAATAGTGACATAAAAAAATTATTTTAATTAATATATTCATTAAATAGGAATTCATGTATTTTAACGATTCCTATAATTGTAAGCAATTATTGGTTTCAACGGAACACCAAAACTGAGACAAACATTTGGCCATTCATTCAATTCAGACCACAATTAGCTCTAAGAAGCGCTTATTTGGATGAATACGAAAAGCAAATGAAACCAATTTATTACAACTCAATGCCATCAGTGGTCAAAATCAGGTCCATATTGGGAACGGCGACCGGATTTATAGTGGACGACAAGGGGTTGATTGTGACCAACGCTCACGTGACCGGAGATTTTGCTTACATTAGTGTTGAGTTTAACGGCGGATATCAAACCGAAGATCTATTGGTGGGCACAGAGGGCACGGACGCTGTCCACCAACTCATGGGACAAGTGGTGTTCGTTCAGCCGCTCAACGACTTGGCACTCATACGGCTTCACGTAATGCCCGGTGTTTTGACGCCAATAAAAGTGTCCAAAAGGACGGATCTGACGGCTGGCGAACCGGTGATGGCTATCGGCAACCCTTTGCTCACTTGGAGCGCAGCTCACGGAGTGATTACTGGTCGAAATCGGCCGGACATACAAAGTGTCGGTTTTGATAGGTATTACACGGGTTTATCGCGTACTCAACACCAATACCTCATACACTCGGCGCCAACTGTTTCCGGCTTTTCCGGCGGACCTATAGTTGATTTGAACGGCGAAGTGATTGGCGTATCAATGGCTGTCATCCTTAACACTAGTATCGCGATTAACGCCACGGATGTGAACCGTATGTTTGTTTGCATTTTTATAAAATTGTTAATTATATTCAGTGTTTTATTCATTAAAAAATGTTTTAGAATTTCTTGAGAGAGGACTTGAATTTGAGAAAAATGCGAGAAAAACGAAATATTCATCAGAAGGCAAGTCATTGGGAGTGATGTTAGAAAAACAAAGTGATAATAGTCTTAAAGTAATTGGTTTTACTGCTGATAATCAACTCAAAACAAAGACAGGGTTTGTATTAATAATTTGGTGTTTTATATAATTTGTAATTATTTTATGTTTTAATATCAAAGAAATGGTTTACAAATGAATGATACGATCATTAAAATAAATGGCAAAGATTTCACAAATATTTCCCAATTGATTAAAGCCATTGAGAAACAAGTATTGACTCTAACTATTAATAGAAATGGCGTAGAAATGGATGTCTCCATAAATTTTAGTCAAATTAATTACAACTTCTCTTTATTTTAATTATTTTGGAAATAAACTAAACTTTTATTTGAAACTTTTTTATAACTTTTAAGTACACTTTTTAATTGATAAGATAATCTTAGCAGTAATTATTACAATTATTCTATAAGTATTTTGCATATAAAAAATTATATAAATTAAATTTAAAGTAAAATCAATAATTTTAGCATTTGTTGCAAATATGTTATCCAATTATGTGTACACTTCTGGCAATAACTTGACTGCTATTCACAAAATTATTCACTAGTTGTGAACCCCTCCGACACCGACCGTTTAGACACTCGCTATTTGGGCCACATTTGGTGCCATCCAAAGCACCCCATGTTTTCAAAGCAAAGAAGTCGTCTTTACAGGTGATCTTTTCGCACACATTCTGTCAAACAATTGATTTAATCATAACATCGTTAAAAATCACAAACAAATTGACAACAAATATAACTAACACTTCCATCATCGTGGTAAACATATTTGGGTCCTAAAGCCAATTGACATTGTCTATCCAGACTCACAGCTGAATTCATTTGCAATTTGTTGTCCACAATCGACAGGTCATTACTGACAGCAGTTGTAACTTTAGACATGCATTTTATTTTGAGACTCTCCTTACTATTCAAATTAAAATGACGTAAAATTTAATTATTTTTAACATTACATAAAACCAATGATTAGATTGAAAACATACTTTTTCTCCAAAGACATTAGATATTTGCGAAAACTCTTGAGAGTACAGTCGGACCACATATTCTTACCGACACTAACAGTGGGAGACATTATATAATTATCTCCATCACAGCTCTCAGTGCCATAATCTTCTTCACCGTCGTGTTGAGCGCCCATACTATCAGTTTTCAATTAATGCCATTTAAATGTTACTAATATTTTTAAAATATTTAGTTCTACATCGATTATCAACAACTTAATACATTATTTTAGTTAAATGTCAACAAAAATGAAATCGTTTGCATTACTTGTGTCCGAATTCGTGGACTAATATCTCAAGCGATTTGAAGCCATCGCGAGCGCCAACTATTATACACGAATAGTCAGGATTACAGGTCTGTCCCACATATGACAAGCCCTTCACTTTGGTGTTATAGTGACCATCTTTTATCCACCAGAGAGTCTGCCTGTAATAGGCATTCAAATTACTATTAAAGACTAATTTTAATTAAAAAATTAATTCAATAAACGCTTACCCCGTAAACAATATGTTGACGTCGGCGTCGGCCCCGGGATTCTCACCAACGAAATGACAAAATTCAGACAAATATTGCTTTATATTCCAGTTATAATTATTCATAATGTTTATCACTTCAAACCTAACTATCACTAAATTAATGTCAATATTATGTATTAATTGTGACGAA